TTGCACCATCACCAAAGGATAGTCCAGGTGGCTCTCCTTTGATTTCGGGGAGATACTCAGAACAGAACAAGAAAGAGGCCTCCTGGGGGCATTGGGACCCTGGAACTTGTTTTGTTTCCCCTTTGGGAGAAACACAGGTTTTCATTTCGTTTATAACGGGCCTTGTCCACCTCTCCGAATGTTCCCTTCATTAGCGGACATGCTCTTCCCCTCTCTGAGCCCTTAGAAAACTCAGAGAGGCTGACTGAAGCATCTGGGTGCTCCTGGCTCCTCCTGCGAGTTGGCGTGAAGAATGCCTAGTTCGGCGTCCTGTCTCTCGGCTTCTCAGGCTCTCCTTTGCCCGTGGTTAGTTATCTTTCCCCACGAGGCACAGTCACTGGTCAGTGCCCGTCCGGCTCTCGCTTGCACCGGCGCTGTCTCAGTGGAGCTCAAGCGACCGCCGTCTATCATCCCTTTGCACAATCTGCTGCACTGATTGCAGAGGGCTGCGGATGGGGTGTGGAAAACGCGTATCTGTGGTATTCCAGGCCCGTTCATGCACTCGAATAACCTCCAGCAGACAGCCCATTACACTCAACAGGCACGAGGATATGTTCACACCCAGGATACTTCTTCTTCAATGAAATCAGCCCCAAAGTTGCAAGTGTCTACGTGGGTACTGTGGGAACCTGCGGGCTACCTGCGAGCAATGGTTACTACCGCTCATTAAAAAGAAGAAAATGATCAAATGTGGCCAACATGACATCATCTCAGGGTCTAGCCCAGATTATCCAAACCAAGATCAGACCTCATGGCCCCGACATGCCTGCTGGACCATGCCAGGTGTGTCCGGCCACAGAGAAGAGGAGTCAGGGCCAACCCCAAGGCCCCGGGTCACCAGAGCCTATGTGAGGTGAGGCAGCCTGGGGGTCGCACACACTCGCACTCGGTCAGCTGACACTGGAAAGACCTAACAGCGTTCCCCCTGCCGAGGATCACCGGGCTGGGTGGACAGACCTCAGAGACTCTCTCTGGCCTAGGAGGCTTTTCCCTGGACAGGGAGCTGAATCAATGCCAAGAGAGAAGGCGATGAAGATCTTTTTCTCTTGAGGCCCATAGTCCAAGAAACCTGGCACCTGCCGCTGCCCACATGGGGATCTGAAGGCCCGTGTGACTGTGGTGACAACTGGCTTTGAGGATGCACAGGGCAGAGGGTAGCGCCTGCAGGAATTTCAAAATAAAAATACACAGCACTGTGTTGTTGGAGGACCTTTTTGCTTAAAAAATGGGGGGGGGGGATTTTTTGCCCATATGGTGTAGAATGATGAAGTGTGTGAGGTCAGGCAGTGCTGCAGTGGTAGTGCAGCTGGACCCATGTGGGCGAGGTGTTGGGCTTATGTCCTGGGACCTCCCTGAGCACGCCCATCCCACAAGCCAGGCCAGCTGAGACTGGGGGTGGGCTGCAGCCTAAGGACCCTGCTAGGGGTGTCTGTCTGTGTGTCTCTTTCTCATGGAAAAATAAATAAACTTTAAAAGCAGAATGACAAATTATGGTAATTACATTACTGTTCCAAATGCCTCACTGCCCTCCCTGTAGGAGGATTACATTTCCCTGCCCAAGCCTTGAGACTGTGCCTCTAACAGAATGGAATTCCTAGCCCTATCACAGTCGGAGGGCCCTATGACTGGCTGTGGCCAATTATAGATGGAAACAAGGCGATGTAGCCAGGGAGGGGCAACAATGTAGCGAGGACAGGGTAGTTCTCTTTCTTATTTCATCTCTGCAACAGTATCCAAAATACCCAGACAAGGGCTTTCCTTCAGAGGCGGCTGATTGGAGTCACATAGCAAAGAGCACCCCCCCCCAAACCCCTGGCAGACCCCAGCTGACAGGTAACATCAGAGAAATAATCCTTTGTGGTCTCAAGTCACTGAACTGCCTAGCACACGCACAGACTAACAACAACGTGGTTACTGAAGACGAACCTGCACTGTCACCCCATGTTCTATGCTCACCTGTGGCCTGGATTCTGCAGCCTGATGGAGCTCTTGAATGTGCAGTTCTGATCATGTAACCATCTACATGAAAATCTTAAATGATCTTCATAACCTACTGGATCTGGTCAGAGAGTTCCTATGTAATCTCACTTCTCTTACCCACTCCCACTGGCTCTTTGCACTTAACCCTTTAACATTTTGCATTAGTGTGGACACATTTGTTAAAACTGATAAACAGCCCGTTACTAATGTTGATGTGTTAGTAATAACTACACACCACCGTTTACATTAGGGTTTACTCTTTCCACTGTAAGCAGCTGTGGATTTTGACACGTGCAAACGTCATGTACCTGCTCGTACAGTATCACATGGCACAGCTCGCCCGGGCTTTACTTGATGCCCTCCTCCAACTCCTACTCCCTCCACAACCACTAATTCTTCTTCTTTCTGAAGGTACTTGAGTGTACAATGAATTTCAATTTGGATTTAAAGTGAATCTGTCATTTTAAAGTAATGAATTAAAGAAAATCATTATTAATAGTTCTATATAATTAACTTTACCAATGGTAATAGTCTACTCAGAGTAACATTCCAAAGAAGAGTAAAAACAATATAAGACCTTTCCTGTAAGTGGGGTAGAAACAATAATTCAACCAAGTGTTCCAAAGGACGCCCGCCCCCGCCAATCAGCACTCTGACCTTAGAGCGTTTCTTAAGTGAACTGTAATGAATCCTTACTCATAATAGAAACAAAATATACCACAGCTACATGATAGTCACTACCACCGCATACTGAGATGTCATTTCAACAACTGTCCAAACGCAGACTGCATGAATGAATATTACCCAGGAAAACAGAATGAATGCCAGGAGACTCCGTGTTGGCCGAGGCCTGTGAGGCCCACCGGGCTCTCTCCCTTTGCAGTCAGGCCTGAGTGAAATGCGCAGACGGGGTCATCGGGCGCGTGGCCAGTCAGGCAGCTGGGTCTTCTCCAGCACAGACTCAGGACGGTGAGTTCTCCCTGGCTCTGTCTCTAGCAAAGTGAGAGGGACTAACAGTTCAGCCAGACTTGAGCCTTCTCCCTACTCTTTCTTTACTTTCATCATTCATTCAACGGTCATTGAGTAGCTGCCCCAGATGTGGGAACTGTCTTGGGTCATGGATCTTTGTACACGTCTGTCTTTTCCACCATGTCACCTACAGCATGTGACCTTCTCAGACTGCCTTCTGTCACTTAATAGCATGCACGTAAGGCTCCTCGGGTCTTTCCGTGGCTCGGAGTTTTCTTTCTTTTCCTTTCCTTTCCTTCACTCCTTCTTTTCTTTTCTTCTTCTTCTCTTTCTCTTCCTCTTCCTCTTCTCCTTCTCCTCCTTTTTTTTTAGATCGCTGAATACTAACCATTGCATGGACATGGCAGAGACTGTTCATTTACTCGCCTACTGAAGGGCGTCTTGGTTGCTTCCAGTTTTTGGCAATGATGGATGAAGCTGCTGTGAGCGCTACTGTGCAGGATTCTGAGCGGACATCGGTTTTCAACTCCTTCAGGTAAACATGGACAGCATGATTGCCAGGTTATGGGACAAGAATACGGTCCGCATTGGAAGAAACTGCCAGGCTGTGCTCCAGGATGGCTGCATCAGTTGAGAATCTTGCTAACAACGACTCTAATTCTACATCCTTGTGCGTTTGGGTATTGTCAGGTTTTTGTGTTTAGTCGCTTGAATGCTATGTACTGATGTCTCATTGTCTGACTGTGAAGTTCTCTAAAGACATTCGGTGCTGAACTTTTTCCAGGTGCTTATTTGCTCTCTGTACACCTTCTCTGGTGTGATGTCTGTTCTGATCTTGGCCTGCTTTTTATTTTTTACACTAGAGGATGCACACGTGACAGAGAGAGTGGTGACTCTCACGGGGCCCAGTCATTCTGCAGTCCTTTTTCCTCCCATTCCCCATCCTGCTAGGATCCTGGGCACGTGTGTACACCCAGCATGTTTTTCTGGCCACCAAGGCTGGCACTTGAACCCTGGTTGGTCATGTGATCCAGCTCCCTGTGCTGTGCCACAGGGCCAGCCCTTTCTGAGCACTTTTAACTGGATTATTTCCTTTTTAAAAAAACCGTTGAGTTTCATTAGTTCTTTGTTTTAAATCCCTTATCAGATGTGTTTTGCAAATATTTTCTCCCACTCCCTAGCCTGTTTTTTTTTTTCATTCTCTAAACAGTGCCTTCTGCAGAGGAGAAGGTACATGCACTGGCCAGAGACAGAGAGGGAGAAAGGACCTCCCCACATGCCAACCCAGATGGTGTATGATCATGCAGAAACCCTCTCTCCTCCATTTCCAGCGTCAGGACTTGGGGCATACACACACCTGTGCCCAGATGGTGTATGATCATGCAGAAACCCTCTCTCCTCCATTTCCAGCGTCAGGACTTGGGGCATACACACACCCGTGCCCAGATGGTGCTCAAGCTACTACGGCTGGGATTAGCACTTTCCTTGGTTCAGATCCCTTCATCTCTAGGCCACAGGGCTGGCTTAAGAAGCATTTATTTGTTTATTTGTTTATGACATTTTTGCTATAGCTAAAGCGTGTCCAGTCACTCATCACAGTGACCACGTTATCATCCCACGGTGTGACCACCTTTGTCCTCTCACTTTGTAGGGTGGCCGCGCTGTGCAGTCCCAGCCCCTCCACTTAGTCTGTGCACTGGGACATTCTAACTCATCTCCCAGCCTCGTCTCCCCAGTAACAGAGACAAACCACAACCTGACAGGTTTGCAGCGAGGAGCAGAGTGTCCATCCTGGGGATGAAGTAACGTGCAAACGTGCTTTGTAAATGCAGAGAGACGCTCTCCTTTTGTATTACTGCCCGTAGAAGTTGTGTGCTCCTAGCTGGAGTTCTAACTGAGAATGCTGTTTCTTCTCCTATAGAACACTGTTCTACATGGTCATGGTGAGGAGCAAAACCCTGGATTTTTGCATACTAAGACAGTATAAAACCAAGTTCCATATCGGTGCTTACCTTGGGAGGTTTCCTTAAGGATGGAGAGAAAAAAATTCCAGCAGCAGAGATTCCAAGGGTGATCGACACAGCAGCCACGCCAGAGGGAAACAAGGAAAGAGAAAAAAAAAAAAATACATTTAGCATCTTGAGGACACGATCTGTAAGACATCCCACTTCACAAAGATTCGGAAGCCAAATTCAAACACATTACTGCTTACAGTAATAAAAATGCTTATATTTGCTCGAAAACACAGTAAGGGTATAATGAATCAAGTCCTTCCTGATATGAGAAAACATATCCAGAGAGTCATTCTGAGATATTTTTAATGATTCTAAGAAATGACAAAAGAAGAGCATCAAGATGCTGCAATCATTACTGTATGTGGCAAAAGATATACTTTTGATTGATTTTCATGGAGAAATTTTTCTTTAAAGGGTACTTAAAATATATGCATATTTTCCTTTGAGAAATGCAGATACCCTAATATATATGGGAGTTTTTCCTCTTTTTAACATGCTCTAGACAATAATTTTCATATATTTCAACTGTTTAGAAATTTAAAATCATCGACCACATTTTTTAATACACTCAATCACTATACATCATTACAGCTTATAAAGTGAGTTTCTCCATTATGAATACACTGTGTATTAGTCAAGTTAAAAACATTATCATACATGTTATCATCAACGGATAATTTTCCATTTCTGTGCCCCTAAATATTTTACTTCTTTCTTTTCCTCCTTGACTCCCTTTCTCTCACCCTCCCCTATTTCCCACCTTCCTCCCACACTCTCTCTAGTATCCATGCTTTTCTATCTTCCAGCCTTTAAGCTTCTGCCACTGAGTGCAGACATTCGGTATACACTGAGTGGGACGTACATTATCTTTCATAGTCGCTTCGCTCAACAGTAAATCTTCCATATTCGTCCACTTTCTATCAAATGTCACAGGGTCTTGATCTTTATGGCTGAGTGTTATTCCACGGTGTATGTGCTACACTTTTCAATTCATCTGTTCATGAACACTTGAGTTGGTTTCATATCTTAGCAATAAACAAGGATGTGCAAGTACTTTTTTAAAAAAATATTTGTTACAGGGCGTGTGTGTTCACCAGAGACAGAGAGAGGGGAAGGAAGAAGGCATTCCCCCATGTGGGGCAATCACACCACAACCCCTTCTCCTCTCGTTTTCCCTCCTGTCAGGATTTTGGGCACATGCGTGCACACACCCAGCAAGCTTTACAAGCCACTGGACCTGGGACTTGAACCACACAGTCAGCCATGCGGGTTCCAGCTGCCTTAACCACCATCCTACCGAGCGGCTCACACACATTTTTTTTTAAAGGCTTGTTTTTGCATGTTTATAACTCAGAAATAACTGAAGTTGTACCTGGAGAAACTCTAAAAAGGAAATAGTTTCCAAGGTAACAAAATATTGGATTGACTTGCTTTGTAAATGTTTTCCACATATACAGATATCAGGCATGGACATGATTTCTACGGTACCAGATACCGTGGCCCTCCCTAGCCTTTCTAGCGTAGCTATTCTTGATCGGCCTCTGATCTCATCAGTCCCTAAGCTGTGAAATTACTGTGAAAGGAAAACGGACATTCCCCCATGGTTTCAATCCTCCTTCATAGGGAACAGGTCATGGAAGTAAGGAACTTGACTTTCCAGGGCAGAGGGCATGGGAATCGAAGCTAAAAACACACATGATGCCTCTCATCCACCCTTGGGTTCAACACCTCTCTCGAGTTCAGAGGGCACCAAACAAAGCCAGAGTCCAGCAGCAGGGAAGCTGTCCATGCAGCACACAATTACATGTACAATTCCACACCACGGATGCAAAGACAGAAGGAAATCACGACATTCCTATCATGATGAGGCTGAAGCATTCATTTCTTGAAATCCCATGAACTGGCTGAAAGGAAATGAACCCTCATGCCTTAAATCATTCCCTCTGACAGCCAGGCGCAGCGGGAATCTGATTTTTGTCTTCAGGTTTAAGACGGGAACTTGGTCTAGAATAACAGGTACCTCTTGTGTCTACCTTTTGAAACAAGAGAAACATTTACAGATGATGTAATAAAAATGCACGAGTGTTTTTAATTCTCAAAGAACTACAGATTTCCATCCTGTGCATTAAGCTTGAGATTTCTGCCAAGAGAATTCCCTAAAGAACCCGACTCTGGAAAGCATCGGTTCTGAGAAGGAGAACAACCAAAAGTGCTCACTGCACTTAGACTAGGCCTTCTACTGTTCTGCTTGCTTTCCTTTTTAAAGTAATTTGAGTCAAGGGTTTATTTAACAAAGGAAATCTACGCCATTTGGGTTACAGGAAGACAATGACATGAAGCAGCATGGACCAAGTTAACACTTGCATGTTTCCCATTCCCGCTATGCTGAACCATGCCACAGAGACTATACGGCCTTCAGAAGGTCACTGTGGATCGGGGCAGCACCGCCGCTCGGGCCTGGCAGCGTTGAGTTGTAGCACCTGCCATTCTCGCCTGCTCCCATGCATGGCCTCTCCTGTCTAAGCCTCCAGTGAAAGCGCTGCGCTCCTTGGCTAGGTCTTGGATAACGATCCGTGCAGACAGATGCTCGATGAGGTGAGTCATCCATGCACACAGTGGTCGTCCACGCGGTTAAGGGCATGAACTGGCTTTGTCGGTGTCAAGGCCCTTCAGGAACGTGTATGAGAGGCCGACACAGAGCGGAGACCCTCAGAGGAAGAATGGCCACTTCCTGCTGGGAGGACGAAACTGAGCATGTGGAGGAAGGCTGTGACCAGAGGCACAGAAAGTGCCAATCTCGGGCAGGGGGAACAGCTAGAACACAGCTGAGAAGGAGAGGATGTGTTTGGAGAACAGGTCAGAGATGGTATGATAATTAGAAGTGGGGCCAGCAGATGGCGTACTGGTTACATCTCTGGACTCCCACAAGGCTGACCATGGTTCAAGTCCTGGACCTGGCAACTTGAAATGCACACCGGAGGCATGTGTGTACGTGCCCAAAATCCTGAGAGGAGAGTGGAGAAGGGACCGCGGGATGACCATTCTCTCTGGGGGGTGATTTCCCACTTTCTGTCTCTCTGTCTCCCTGGCAAGCACATGTGGCCCAAAGCAAAAATCTCTCAAAAAAAATACTGAGAGTCAGAAAGCTGAAATAACACACAGGACCAGAATGCAGAGGGCACTGAACACCATCCTGCCTTCGGCTTTTTCCAGGAGCAAATGCCACAGTGGCTTCTGAAATGGGAGCGACAGCTGGATCTGGGCCAGGAGCGTGAGACAAGAGGAAAGGAAGAGCCACGCCTGCACGCTGGTGACCTGCTGCCGCCTCGACAGCAGCCCTCAGGGTGTGGAGAGCCGGCCCCGCTGCAAGGGCAAGAGGAAATGCGGGTGGTGTCTTGGCCTGAATGATGTTTGTCCCGCCAGGTTCCGTGTTTTTCAATTTAATACGGGGGAGGTGGTGAGGCCTAGTGAGCGGTGACCGGACCGTGGTGACTGTGTCATAGAGAAACATTCTTCTGAAGAGATTAACGATGCCTTCCAAGACCCAGAGAGTTCTACTGACAGTCCTGTGAGAAGTTAGGTCTCTTAAGTTCCCCACTTTCGGGTATTTCTGCTAGCAATGCAGTAACAAACTAAGACAGCAAGGAGCAAAAATGAAGAAAACTTGAAGGGAGAACCAGAAGCCTCATGGACGGCTGTGCCCGTGCAGCTGGCCTCCCACCAAGGCCGCCAAGTTCACTGTGACACGCACAGAGGGACTTTGCAGGTGGGGCTGCGGTTACAGACCCTGGAAAAGACTTGGTGTGATGAAGGCAGGAATCACCACTTTAATTATGCTAATATTTAGGATAGTATAGATAGCTTGAAAATTAATTTACGGCAGCAGGTGGTGTGGAGGTTAAAGCACAGGATCACACATGGCCAACTCCATGGTTCAAGTCGCAGATCCAGTGGCCTGAAAATCACGTTGGGTGTGTGTGCGTGAGTACCCAAAGTCCTGAGAGGAAAATGAAGGAGAAGAGAACATGGCATGGTCATTTCCCCCCGGGGGGGGGGATGATTTCTCACTTTCCCTCTCTCTTTGTCTCTCTCTTTCTCTGGGGAGTACAATGACCCCTATAGCAAATGAACCTAAAAAAATAAAATTAATTCAAAGTATACCTACGATTTTAAAAAATGATATATATCTTTTGTACATTTACTTCTTCCTTTCATGAGAGACACAGACAGACAGAGACAGGGGAGAGACAGATCCCCCAACAGGGCCTTCACACCACCATTCGCCGTGAGTCTCAGCCTGTCTAGACCACAGATCCGCCTACGCACGCCAAGGGGAGGTCCCAGGATGCGAACGCAGGACCTTTCCCGTGTAGGTCCAGTTGCGTTTGCCCTTGCACCACTACCTGGCCCCCAAATACCTTCTCAAAAACCTTTTTTTAAAAAGAAATATTACCAGGGCTGGCAGGTGGCATAGTGGTTATGGCACTAGACTCCCACATGGCTGACTGTGGTTCAAGTCCCAGATCTGGTGGTTTGCTTTCTCACTTTCCCTCTGTTTGGGAAAATTTTCAAAAAAGAAAAAAAAAAATTAATACAATTAAAGAAAATAATTCTTTTAAAAAATTACCACTCCATTTAATCTAACTTTTCTTTTAGAGAGAAATTTTTGCTGGAAGGCCTGTACACTTGTCAGAGAGAGAAAGAGACAGAAAGCGAGCACACACAATCCCTTCTCCTCCATTCTCATCTCAGGATCTTGGGCACATGCACACATGCTTGGTGTGTCTCAAGGCACTGAGTCTGAGGCCTGAAGTACGGTCGACCACGTGGGAGTCCAGCAATATAACTACTATGCCATCTGCTGGTCCCAATCTACTCTAATTTTCAGTGAAAGTAAAAAAAGGAAAGAAAGAAAAGAAATGAACAAGTTTTACTGGCATGGAAAGCTCTGTGGTTTGAATTTTTTTTATTAATTTGGACTGCATCCTTCTGGCATAACTACATCTGGCA